CCAAAAACTGGTCTAGAAACATGTAAAACTCGAAAAAGTGAACCGAGGTCATCAAAGGTCAATGACCTGACCTGACCTTCAGGTGACCTTGACACCCACCCTAATGCATGGGGACAACATCATATCACATGTTTGAACGCTTGAAACCACGAAAAGACTGCAAACGCGCGGCTAATGCGAGCCGACATACGCCGAATCGCGATTCCAGCCAAACATGGTCTCGAAAAGTAGGTCACAGGTCAAAGGTCACTTGGGTCAGGGTCATGAAATTTTCAGGGTAGGTGTGAAATTGATGAACGCGAGGGTACTGAAAGTTTCGTCGCGATCGGCCGCTTTATACGCGAGTTATTCGCGAAAAACCATGGGGGGGTCCGTTCGACCCCCCCCCCCCCTATACGGGCGAGGGTTAACCCTCACCGGCACAGGGTCGTACCACAGTACAGGGTCGTACAGGGTCGTACCCCCCCCCCCCCTGTGCTGTCGAAGGACTCAAAATGGCCTGTGCCGCGGCGAGGGTTAATCGCATGTTTTGTGGAACAGAAGGGCCGTCATTGCATATTAACGCAATGGGAGCCTATCAGAGCGGCGTGTAGGTACTGTGTGCAGATTTGTTGCTTTTGCCAAGAAGAAAGGGAACGATAAATTGAATCAAGAATCATGCATGACACTAAATTTCATGAACTATCTAATGCTATTTATTATTCGAAGAACAAGAACGCTGTTTTGTTGCAGCCTTTCAACTTTCTTGTTCATAGTTCGCGGCTCATTCGGCATTGCTGGGCCTGACAACAATAAACTTTGAGTTTTAGTATCAAGTTTTCCTATTGACGCGCAAAATAAAATGTCAATTCTAGATAGCTGCTCGATAAAGCACTAATTTCTACGCAGTATAATGTTATTAAAAAGGAAAAAATATGATGGAACTCCTCCGCACTTTTGTGAAACAAAACGATGTCGCATATTTTCGTGACGGGAGCGTGGCGGGTCCCGCATGCGAATATATGCCGGCTGATGTTTCTTGCCAACAAACGTAACAATAATTGGTTTGTAGAATCGTGTCCTGGAATAAATTTTGCCAGCTATTCAATGATGCTAATTACTACAAGAATGAGAATGGTATCTGGTCGCAGACTTCATTTTCTTTTTGTCTTTATTTGGAGATTCATGGTGCTTTGTTGGCCAGACTTTGTATTTGCAGGTCTGGCAAGTATTTCTCTATGAGCGTTCGAATTCCGATAGGTAGGTATGTAGGGAAAATAAAATCTTCAACGATAGGTATACCATTTTTGTTCTTCGAACTAATATCATTTGATACCCCGTAGAATATATTCTAGGAAGTGATTCTATATGAAGAACCAGGGTACTTTTCCCTTGTTTATTAGCAGCAAACAATCGAACGGCATACATCGTTCGTGGCGGGGCCCCACTCCCCTCGCGAAACTATATAACATCCTTTTGTTCCACAAATAGTGCGGTGAAGTGATAGCCGATTTATCCTTTTCAACAGTGCCATACTGCGTAGAATTGAACGTTTCATTGCACAACCATCTAGAATCGACATTTCATTTTCCGCATCGATATGAAAACTTGGTGCGAACTCGAAGATTATTGTTGTCAGGCCAGCAATGCCGAATAGGTAACCTGGGAAATATTAACGAATGAGCAAATTGAAATCTGCGACGAGATGTTAGTTTAATTCTTCGAATAATTAGTAGCATTGAATAACCCGTTAAATTTTGTACTAAACATGATTCTAGAATCAATTTACTTTTGCCTTGCTTGTTCGCAAAAGCAATAAATATGCACACATGCACGCCGCTCTGGACGCACCCATTGCATTAAAATGCAACGTCGGCTCGACGCTCCTGTTCCACAAAAAGTGCGATGAAGTGATGGCGCATAATCCCTCAAATTTTGTGTCATTCTATGTAGAATTGAACGCTGTATCGAATGCTTGTCTAGAATCGACATTTTATAGTGCCCAATAAAACTTGATAAAAGCTTAGGAATGGCTAGCAGTGCTCATGGTCCTCCAAATAAACACAAGTAGGAAACATGAAATCTGCGACGAGAATTCATTATTATTTTTCGAATAATCAGTATTATTGAATAGCCCGTAAAATGAATTCCCGGTTGCGATTCTAGAACCAATGTATTATTCCCTTATTTATTGGTAACAAACAATCAATAAGCATGCATCGTTCCCGGCGGCGCCCGCTCCCATCGCAAAAACATGCAAATTCCTTTTGTTCCACAAATAGTGCGGTGAAATGATAGCCGATTTATCCTTTTCAACAGTGGGGCGTTCCACGACAAATCGACAAGTGCCCTGCACCCTCATATTTTATTTTTTGCTTAAAATTGGTCTAATGGGTTGTGATGGGCGGGGAAGCCAGCTGTGGCAAGGATTTTTTTCTTCGAACAACGGTTTCCGAGATATAGCCTCGGGCAATTCCTGGATGTCGCGCTGCAGCCCTATGTTTGGCGGCCTATAACTAAAAAACTATTGGTTTTCTACGATAAAAACTTTATATGGTTCAACACACAATCAACCAACAAACATTTTGGCTATCTCGGATTTTCAATTTTTGAAAATTTTGATCACGTGACCTTTTGACCTATTTTTCGAAGAGTGACCTTGATATTTTTCCCACTGAAAGTTGCAATTTTGTCTGATGACGATTAAAGCCTTATCAATTGTCATTCATATGCGAAAATAAAAAAAGTGGATATCGCCCTGCGTTGACCTCAGGTCAGGTCATTTTTATGACCTGTCCATTATTACGAGCGGGAGCGACAGCGAGATCTCGAGAATAAAGCAAGATAGCGACAAGCGGTAAACGGTGCAGGGTACAAATGGATAAGGTCCATAATTTTTACTGAGGTCATTTTCAGGTCAGGTCAAAGATGACGTCACAGGAGCAAAAAGGAAGTCAAAATTGCGGCACTACAGATATATGAAGTTTTTCTCGAATAACTTTCAAGGTATCCCAGCTAGGAACAAACTAATATCACCATCGTGATCCTCTCGTCGATCCGCATCGAAACATATGTATGTTGACCTCGAAAGGTCGAAAGGTCAAAAGTTGACCTTAGGTCACGTGACCTAAGGTCAACTTTTGACCTTTCGACCTTTCGAGGTCAACATACATATGTTTCGATGCGGATCGACGAGAGGATCACGATGGTGCTATTAGTTTGTTCCTAGCTGGGATACCTTGAAAGTTATTCGAGAAAAACTTCATATATCTGTAGTGCCGCAATTTTGACTTCCTTTTTGCTCCTGTGACGTCATCTTTGACCTGACCTGAAAATGACCTCAGTAAAAATTATAGACCTTATCCGTGTGTACCCTGCACCGTTTACCGCTTGTCGCTATCTTGCTTTATTCTCGAGATCTCGCTGTCGCTCCCGCTCGTCACGTGACCTACGGTCAACTTTTGACCTTTCGACCTTTCGAGGTCAACATACATATATTTCGATGCGGATCGACGAGAGGATCACGATGGTGCTATTAGTTTGTTCCTAGCTGGGATACCTTGAAAGTTATTCTAGAAAAAACTTCATATATATGTAGTGCCGCAATTTTGACTTCCTTTTTGCTCCTGTGACGTCATCTTTGACCTGACCTGAAAATGACCTCAGTAAAAATTATAGACCTTATCCATTTGTACCCTGCACCTTTTACCGCTTGTCGCTATCTTGCTTTATTCTCGAGATCTCGCTGTCGCTCGCGCTCGTAATAATGGACAGGTCATAAAAATGACCTGACCATAGGTCAACGCAGGGCGATATCCACTTTTTTTATTTTCGCATATGAATGACAATTGATAAGGCTTTAATCGTCATCAGACAAAATTGCAACTTTCAGTGGGAAAAATATCAAGGTCACTCTTCGAAAAATAGGTCAAAGTGATCAAAATTTTCAAAAATTGAAAATCCGAGATGGCCAAAATGTTTGTTGGTTGATTGTGAGTTGAACCATATTAAGTTTTTATCGTAGAAAACCAACAGTTTCTGAGTTATAGGCCGCCAAACATAGGGCTGCAGCGCGATCTGCTGGAATTGCCCGAGGCTATATCTCGGAAACCGTTGTTCGAAGAAAAAAATCCTTGCCACAGCTGGCTTCCCCGCCCATCACAACCCCTTACACCAGTTTTCAACGAAAAATAAAATATGAGGGTGCAAATTTAACCCTTTACCGGGCACCCATAGAAATAATTGGAAATCCATTCTTCTGGCCCTAGATCATGTTAATTTGAACCTTTGTAAGACTTTTTTACTCATTTGATTGTTTCGAGAACTTATGTTTCCAGTGCAAATCACGACACTTTGAAGTGCTGAAATATGGGGCCTCGCCAGCCTACGGTCAAACTGCCATCGTAAATTCACTTGCGGGAAAATTTACTTGGTACGGAAACCAGTACCTATTTATACTTCAGTAATCACCCCCCATGGTGCTGCCGGACAATATGCTCGCTACAGGCAACACTCGCACATAACTGCTAAATGTAATGTATTTTCCACTGAGGGGCAGGTGAACATTGCACACTCTGCTAGGTCCAATGCATCACACTGAAATTCACCCTGCTAGAAAACATTTTCATGGCACACCAGAAATCACTTTTGCCCCACTGAGGCGCAGTCATACCCTGAAAGCCCTGAATGTCCTGAGTTCTGAATACCCTGGATATCCTGAATGCCCTCCAGGCATTGTTACCACGACACACTAAGAACCGCCCACGGAGGCAACGCCCACCTTGCACGCCCTTTAGGCAACGCGTTCATGGTACTGCAAGAAGCAGTTTCTTTCTCCATTCAAACACAGGTGCACCTTGCACACCCTGCAGAGGAAGTTAGAGCGCATGATGTGCCCCTTCTTGCTGCAGAACTTGCAGGTCTGACGTGTCACATACATGGGAACATGGAACAGCGTTGTGTCGAAGCGCACTGAAGCAGCCGGCGTATGGCTGCGGTGTCCCCGAACGGCTGGAGGGATGTCAGCGCTGCTGCTGGGGACTGCGGATGTCACCGAGGTTCTCAGCAGGGGCCGATGGACTGTTGGGTTCCTGCAGCGGGCTGCGTAGAATACTTCGATCCGGAAGTCCTTCAGTGACATCCCAGTTTCGTTCAGGGCTTGGCAGTCTCGGCGGTATAGGAGCCAGGCATTGGTGAGACAGATGTCAATCACGTATGCGAAGAGCCGCATATACCACCTTTTCGACTTCATCGGTGTTCTGTACAGGTGGATCAGCATGTCACTCTTGTCGATTCCCCCCATGTTGGCGTTGTAGCTCTTTATCACTTCTGGGCAGGGAACATCATCCTTCTCCTTTGTTTCATTGCTGTACCTCTGGCAGGTAGTCACTGGCTCCACCCCCAGGTCAGTGGACAGCATTGTCACGACCTTGTTGTCCTTCCACCGGACTGCCAGAATACCGTCATCACTTGTGACGTAGTCAATGCTGCCACGGGGGACGCTCTTCTTCTCCATGTCCTTCACTGACTTCAGGGGAGGCTTGCCGATCCTGTTGTCTCGCGCAGTTCCTGTGTACCTGCAGCCCTTCCCCTGCAGGTACCTCACGAGCTCCAAGCTCGTGAAGTAGTTGTCCGCGAAGACGACAGTGGTTGATGACAAGTTCATGGTGCTGACCAGGGCAGCGACTATCTGGCTGGTGACTCCCATGGCTTCTTCTGCTGAGGTCATGGTGACACCATGGCTCTGCAGAGTCGTCTTGCCTTGATACAGCACCATGTCATGGACGAACCCATCCTCGGAGGCTCTGGAGAACAGCTTGAATCCCCACTTGTCTGGCTTGTTCCTGATGTATTGCCTCAGATTGCCCGCGGTCTTGCCCTTGTAGCCCACCATCACCTCGTCGATGGACTGCTTGCTGGTTTGGGGCACGCTCTGGAACGATGTGTTGATGAAGCTGAAGAGCGGTCGTATCTTGAAAAAAGCGATCAACGCTGCCACCTGCTCGTGAGTTGTCGTTGAAATGCAGTGTCCTCCGCAGCAGGCGAAACCTCTTCGAGGACATCACTTCAGCCACTTGGGGAACCCTGAGTTTCATAGACCAGTAGTCTTCCAGTGATGGAGCTTCCATGACACCCATGTACAGCAGCACAGCGACGAAATTCACGATTTCGTCATCGGTGGTAGAGAAGGTGGTGTTCACGTCCTTTTGGGTGGCATAAAGGTTGGTCTGGTATGCGATGTGCCGGACCATCTGCTCACTGAAGAAGGTGAAAAAGTACTGTTGTGGACTCCTCACATAGAGAGGCGCCGGGTGCTCAAAAGCTGGCAGAGCTGGATAAGAGACGTCCACTTTCTGCCAAGTTGTAGGCCTTGCAGGCACCTTCTTAGTCGTTGGCCTTTTTGCCTTCTTGGATGCTGGAGGCCTGCTGATTCCCCCCTCTTCTTCCTCGTCCTTGTCCTCTTCGACATCCTCGTCCTCGGACGACTGTGCCTCCATCATTTGGAGTGAGGGCCTGGCACGCTTCCCCTTGGTGGTAGGAGGCGCATCACTGGGGCCTGGAGTCTCGGGGTCGTGGTGGCGTTGTGGCAGAAAGTCAGGGTCGGCTACGTCGTCGTCATCGTCCAGGCTGTCGTCATCACTGACATTGGCACTGGCTGGCACAATGGCGCGGCCATGGTGCTCACTGCGGCGGCTGAACATTCCCTGAGGCAGCTGCAAAAAGAAGAATTGTTGGGTTGCTCAAACAAATCCCATAAATTACAAAAGTGACGCCCCGATATGACAGGATAGAATGTAGGATAGTTCTACATTCGATCCCCCCCCCCCCCCAGTCAATGCCGGCCGCCAGCCGGCCTACGTGGCAGGGGCTCCGATTTTCCGCCACATAGGTGTGCCATAGCAACTGCAGGGGGGGGGGGGGCGTACATACCAGTGATCTTCACAGACCATTCAGTATAAATCATTATAATGTGTTATACATGTGCCACTATCAAAAATGATGATTGCCCTAGATGGGGCATATGTCTATAAATGGGGTCTTCCCAAAAATACCAGTTTTATTGTAGTCGGGCGTATGTCCATTTATGGGACCTTCTGCCGTAAACAATGCCGTCTGTGAAACGGGCGCATGTCTATATTTGATCATCGCAATATTTGCACATCAATTAGACCACTTCCCAAAACGTTTCAGTAAATGTCGCGTTTATCACTGTTTGACGCACATATTGAACTCTTATTATGCACACTTTCATCAACTTACCGACATCATGAACAGAGGTAGGGCCTGAGGTGTCTGAAGCAAGCCGGCGCGCGGAACAGACTTTCGCGATTTTGGATAGGGCCGAAGTTTGCAAGGGTGGTACCAAATCCCAGAGCAATGACAGCTGTGACGTCACGGCCTACGATGTCCCCTGAACCTCGCTGATTGGTCGGATGTGTATGATGGCCTTGGAAAGATACGTCGGGTGGCTCCAGGGCGCCCGAAGGGGTGCTCCGTGAAGTGCTCATATACAGTTCCCTGCCCGATAAAGGGTTAATTTTTTATTTGTCGATTTGTCGTGGAACGCCCCAGTGCCATATTGTGTAAAATTGAGCACTTGATCGAACAGCCATCTAGAATCGACATTTGATTGTGCACATTAATATGAAAACTTGATGCGAGCTCGAAGATTATTGTTGCCAGGCCAGCAATGCCGAATAAGCCGGGAAACATTAACGAGTAAGGAAATTGAAATCTGCGACAAGATGTTATTTTAATTCTTCAAATAATTGGTAGTATTGAATAGCCCGTTAGATTTGGTACCATATGTGATTCTAGATTGAATTTACTATTGCCTTGCTTGTTGGCAAAAGCAATAAATCTGCACACATCGCACGCCGCCCTGGACGCACCCATTGCATTAAAATGCAACGTCGGCTTGACACTCCTTCTGTTCCACAAAAAATGCGATGAAGTGATGGCGGATAATCCCTCGAATTTGGTGTCATTCTGTGTAGAATTGAACGCTGTATCTCATGCTTGTCTAGAATCGACATTTTACCGAGCACGTCCATAAGAAATTGATAGAAGCTGTATGCCAGAATTGAAGAATGTATAGCCAGCAGTGCCCAATGGGCCTCTAAATAAAGACAAATAGGAACCATGAAATCTGCGACGAGATATCATGCTCATTCTTCGAATAATCAGTATACCTAATTGAATAGCCCGTAAAGTGTGTTCCAAGATGCGATTCTAGAACCAATGTACTATTCTCTTATTTATTGGCAACAAACAATCAATTAGCATGCATCGTTCCCGGTGGCGCCTTGCTCCCATCGCAAATATATGCAATGCAATATCCTTTTGTTGCACAAATAGTGCGGAGAAGTGATAGCCGATTTATCCTTTTCAGTAGTGCCATGTTGTGTAGAATTGAGCACTTTATTGAACAGCCATCTAGAATCTACATTTCATTGTGCGCATCAATATGAAAACTTGGTGCGAGCTCGAAGATTATTGTTGCCAGGTCAGCAACGCCGAATAGGTAACCTGGGAAATATTAACGAATAAGCAAATTGAATTCTGCGACGAGATGTTATTTTAATTTTTCGATTGATTAATAGCATTGAATAGCCCGTTAAATTTAGTACCAAACATGATTCTAGATTGAATTTACTATTGCCTTGCTTGTTGGCAAAATCAATAAATATGCACACATCGCACGCCGCCCTGGACGCACCCATTGCATTAAAATGCAACGTCGGCTCGACACTCCTTCTGTTCCACAAAAAATGCGATGAAGTGATGGCGGATAATCCCTCGAATTTGTTGTCATTCTGTGTAGAATTGAACGCTGTATCGAATGCTTGTCTAGAATCGACATTTTATCGTGCACGCCAATAAAACTTGATAAAAGCTTATGTATGGCCAGCAGTGCTCCATGGGCCTCCAAGTAAAGACAAGCAGGAAAAATAAAGCCGGTATCATTAATAAGCCGGTAGGATGTGTTCCCGGACAAGATTTTGGAACCAACGTATTATTCTTTTGTTTATTGGCAACAATCAATTAGCATGCATCGTTCGCGGCGGCGCCCCGCTCCCATCGCAAATAGGTATGCAATATCCTTTTGTTCCACTAATAGTGCGGTGAAGGGATTGCAGATTTATCCTTTTTTCAAAAGTGCTATATTGTGTAGAATTGAGCACTTTATTGGACAGCCATCTAGAGTCGACATTTCATTGTGCGCATCAACATGAAACTTGACGCAAACTCGAAGGTTTATGTTGTCAGACGAGCAATGCCGAATAAGTACCCACATGCCTAACCTGGGAAATATTAACGAGTAAGCAAATTGAAATCTGCGACGTGATGCTATTTTAATTCTTCGAATAATTAGTAACATTGAAAAGCCCGTTAAATTTAGTACCAAACATGATTCTAGAATAAATTTACTATTGCCTTGCTTGTTGGCAAAAGCAATAAATCTGTACATATCGCACGCCGCCCTGCTACGCTCCCATTGCGTTAGCATGCAACGTCGCCTCGACATTCTTTCTGTTCCACAAAAAGTGCGATGAAGTGATGGCAGATAATCTCTTAAATTTAGTGTCATTCTGTGTATAATTAAGCGCTGTATCGAATGCTAATCTAGAATCGTATGTCATTGGTGTCCGTCTATGCAAAGTTCCACTGCAAACTTGAATTTTCGCTTCGGAGCGGTCGCCGACGGGCCGAGCGTCACGTGACCCTAATCTCAGGAGCCGGTCAAGGTCACATGACCAGAGATCGGTCAGTAGTTCTCAGATTTACCGCTAGAGTAGCGCCACTTGTATCGATGTCCGCCCTTGGACAGTAACGAACATCGCCAGCTGAGCCCAGCGAGCTTACAGCTAACCTGCACTGACTACGACAGCGTCTCGCCTAGGGACAACGTTTCCCAGAGCGCTCATTATGTGTCCTACTTACCTGTACACCGGTGTGCGCACGGACCCGTTCCCCAGATGTAGTCTCCACCTGAAACACAGAGAGAGACACGGGTTAGTGACATGTCAGAGCTGGTAGCCGACCGCTGCCGGGCGAGATGGCTTCTACAGAATGGCGGCATTGAATGGATACTCATTTGGTGGGGCATATCCCTTACGCGGACCGCAAACATATGCATACGTAATATGATACATATAAGCCTACATCAGTGGAATATCACCCGAGGCAAGGTACCACATGAAGCTGGTAGCCATGACGGTGACACAAATAATGTTATAACATCAGTGATCATATTTACAGACTTTCCAGAACGCAATGTCCGAGATGAAGCCATCATTAGCACATATGTACAGTCAGCTAATTCATGAACAGGACATCATGACACAGAAAGACAGACAGACAGACAGACAGACAGACAGACAGGCAGGCAGACAGTCAGACTGGGCCCGCTTTCCAGACTGACCGCCCGACCGAGTCAGCCCGAGAGCAGCTAGCAACAGCTGCTCCGCGCTCCACCTCCGAGCCTGGGGCGGCCTCCCAGACCGGAGCCGGAGCCGCAGCCGGAGTCGGAGTCGGGCCGGCCGACGGTTGTTCATTTGGCGTCGGCGGCCAAGAGGCGTCATTATTGGCCGAGCGGGCGCCATCAGACGGTGAGGTAGGTCAGACGCGACAAAAACAACACCGCCGCCGGCGTCAGCGGCCAGCGCAGCAATCAGACCACGGAGAGCGCCGCCGACCGAGCGAGCGAGCGACCAGGCGACCGAGCGAGCGAGCGACCGGCCAGCCACTCCAGCCCAGAGACACAGCTCTAAAAACGGCAGCGTCAATACGGCATTAGAACATTTGCTCGGTTCGGCTCGGCACGGCATCAGGCACAGCCTCAAACATCAGCCTTTTTGCCGGTGTTTAGACTAGCACTGCACACATACACACGCCCACAAAGTTTGAAGTCGCCCCCGACGGCAGTTGACATAGAAGCGGGCTCCGAACGGCGATGTTTACACCCACGATGGCATTCGATCCAGGTGGTGCAAAAACTTGCCGATGAAAAACTACATAAAAAGCAGCGCTGACTGCCGAGCGATGTGACACAAAAGGCCCGGTGCGGTCGAACGGAGCATCCGCCCGGCCCATTACCCTCCTGTAATGTATGTATCCTCCCGAAGGACAACACGGCGCACCTGCCCCATAATGAAGCATTCCGAGCCTGTCACCGTTCGCGGCCGATAGGCAGAGGCCGGCGGATCAGCAGCCAGCTGACTGTATTTGACACCATGACGGCTGACAAGAGACCCGGGCTTAGATAACAGCCTATTCAGTAATCCTGCAGAAGCGGCAGGTGAGGACCAATATCACGACGGTGGACCGCGGAAAAAAATACCACCCCGACGCTCTGAGAGCAGCGTTCAGCCACCAGCGGCGCCGGTCGCGGCACCAAAACCGAGAACCGTGAGCGGCAGCGAACAGTGACGGCGAACAGCCGACCGCGGGTATCCTCATTGTTTCGTGTTCGTGAGCCACTGTTAGCGTGTGGCCGGAAAGGCGAGCGAGGCCCACGCGCAGTAAAACCTTCCTATGGGTTCACGTGGGGCACTAAAGAGCTAAGCCCTGAAAAGGGCAAACGTGGTAGGCAGAAAGGGCGTGGAGGAGGTGACGCAACGTTCAGACATCAGGAACATTCTCAAGGGCATGAACCCTGGAAAAGCGTGCGGTCCTGATAATGTCAGCGCTCGTGTCATTAGAGATGTAACGGAAGTTAGCCCACATTCAGCCCAGATTCGGCCCAGCCCAGATTGGGGCTGCCAAATCTAGGGAAAAATCTAAAAATCTAGGGGAAAATCTAATAACCGTTTTACGCCTAAACGGCTTGACGAAACTGAAAAATAGGACCACCATTTGAAAGATCTCTTCACCCCGGACCTAATTATATGGTTAAATACCGGATCAATTTAACCAAAAGCATGATTTAACCAGGATGAAAATTTTCGGTCAATGGGGCGGCCCCTACGATTTTCTTCAAAATCGGCATGGTGATACTACTGGCCCAGATGATCAATCTGGCTGAAGAAACCCCTATGGGCATTGAAATCTATGGGGTAAAAACGCCCTTGGAAAGTTTTACCCACGAATTTCTGGCAAGTGTATCGCACGCATCCCCCCAATATGGGTATCATATGAGAGCCCATGAAAACCCAAACAAAATGGTGGGGTAAAATTTACCCATTACCCCATCCAGGGTAAAGTTTACCCAAGATGAAAATTTTCGGTCAATGGGGCGGCCCCTACGATTTTCTTCAAAATCGGCATGGTGATACTACTGGCCCAGATGATCAATCTGGCTGAAGAAACCCC